ACGGTCATCGTCGCGTTAGATCATCGCGCTAGATCGCCACGTTTGGGACCTAGGCGGAGACAATCAAGCAATCAATGTCAGGGACCAACCCTTTCACGACGAAACAGTTGGTTTCCGTTTGCGCGCGAATCTCCAACCGCATGCCAATCAGTATACTATTTGCGTGTCCGATACGGCCAACCGAGAAAAGAAAACAGTTACGCCTCGCATAGTTTCATCTGTCGTTTCAACGCACGTAGGAAGCTTTACAGGCCGACTTTGGCGCGAGCCATTTTCACTCTTCTCCAATTGAACGTACGCCCATCTACATACATCGTCATTCATTACGAATTACTGGGACACGGGGATTTAAATGAATGAAATGAGAAATTGTTTCAAGAAAAATTACCATCTCACGAATTAGGAAAATTAAGTTTCTCCCTTTCCGACATTCGCGTAATTATTTTAATCTACTAGTCGTCTCCTTGATAATCTACATGAATTATCACGTTGCAGTTCTTTCATTTCTTTCATTTCAGAATTTTATATACAGTCTTCTGAAGCTCGTGGCTTTCGTTCCCCGGTAACCTAAATTCCACCCCTCTGCACCGAAGCTAACAAGACACACCCTGTAATCAACATTAAGCTACGAAACCTACGAAGCGAACGTCAAAAGTACTCTGTGTCACCGTTCCAGACAAACTTCGATCGACACAGCTTCGCACCGTGTCCATTAATAGACTAACAAATGGCAGCGGGCAATGCTGCCACGTAATACGTCGATCACGTCAGACGTCGCCAATAAATCGACTCTCGCAACGGGGGAAATTAAAAGCCACTGGAAACAATTAACTCACGACGCACGCACGTAAGTAGGTAAGTGGCTGACGAAAGTATTAAAACCTTGCCACAAAAAGGAGACAAACGAGACAACAAACAATTAAAATTAACTGTTTAAATAAAAAAAAAAATAAAAAAAATCAAATCTTGCGGTTGCAATGAAATCTCAAAAGCATCTTCTAATCTTGCAGTTTTCTACTAGCGTCGGCATACTTTTCGTACATAACCGTGTACGGTGGCTAGATTGATCTCCATTATCGTGTGGAGTAAGTTTGACAGTGACTTCCATCAAGAACTTGCGCACCCTTCCATCGCAAGCAGACGAAGAAGACCGGCCTGTTAAGTCATTATCGTTATTGTTTGCGCGCCGCACGCAGCGAGGGCACCCACTGTCAGAGCTGACCGCTTTAATATATATTCTATATAGGGTGGAGAGAATGTATGGTCGTCTAGCGTGAAAAGGAACTAGCATGAGTCACGGGAGGAGAGGGGACGGCCATCGTCGCGGTTTCTTCGACTGGGGTCACAGGTAATTGGCCTGATCGTACGAAGACGCGTTCTATCGTTTAGTCGTGTGCAAATCGCGTTCGAACGCGCGGTCGTGCTTCGTTGAGTCATCCTGGTGACACGCACGACCTGAGCCTTTGACAGCGCCAGAATACCATCCTACCTTTTTTTATTTCCCTCTTCTCTTTTTCTCATCTCCGCTGGCCGTTGTCACGAGCGAACCAAGCGGAAGTTACGCGCGGAAATGGACGGAATCGTATTTTACGGAAGGCTCGCGAGGAAAATGCAGTGCAGAGATGGTTAGGTTACAATGAGATGGTAATTGGTCGTGAAACATTCCGGGAAAGAGGCAGAGAAACTGATTCTATTGTTAAGAGTGTGGCATGCATCGTTTCTTTCGAACGGGTCATTTTTAATGAGATATCAAGGTAGCCGAGGGATACCTTGATTTAAATTTTAATTAAGCTTGTAATTGATTTTTTCTTTCTTTTCTTTTCTTTTTTTTTTTTTTTTTTTTT